GGGTGTTCTGGTTTTTTATGTCAGCGATACTACACAACAAAACGTCTAATAAGATATATTTATTAAGCGTCATAAAAGTGATGAGCAATTTCCTTGACTTACTAATGCATTTCTAGAGGAAACAACTTATGCACTAGAAAACTGCCAAATGTCGTCTTGGCTGGTTAAGTCCTTTTTTTACAACCGTTGTTTTAACTTTTGATAGGTAGTTTTTAAGAAAAGCTTTTCAAGATAAAAATTAGTGAGGTCTAAATGTCGTTCAAAATTATTATCACTAATTTTTATCTTGAAAAGCTATTTTAACTAAAACCCTTGTCACCCACGGATATAAAACAAAATTATTCGGGGAATAAATCTCAAGTCAAAAAAATGTTGCCTTATCGGAGCTGAACTAAAAAGGAAACATGAAGAGCGCTCGGCGCTTTCTTAAAGTTATTGTGATAAACACATTTCCGAATATATACATCAAATAATGGAAAGCTTCTTTGAAACAAACTACTTGAAATTTCATCGTTTGGACTAAAATTACTATCTTTGCGGAAAAATAACTTGAAATTCGATTTACTTAACCAACCAATCACGGCTTCTAAAAAAATATCATCAGAGCTCAATTCGCTTGACTACATAATTTAACACTTTCGAAAAAAAGGGCTTTTATAATTTGATAATTTCCAAGTTTCCATAAAGAGAACATTAAGGTTTCTGTTCCAGGTAAATACAAGTAGCTGTTAGATGAGCTTTTTTGAGACTGTTTTGCTGGATGTATCATTTTCGTCCCTCACAGAAAATGTCCTTCCACCACAAGGAAACAATTGACATTTCTAAGCTTTCTAAGTCCATTTTATTCCAATCAAGTCCGTCCACTTTACTCGTGCCTACCAAGGTGTAGTTGACTTTGGCCAATTTTCAAAATCAAATGTCACGTTGTCGCCAATGAGCATAAATGAAGCCCACTGAGATACTTTGTCAAAGCCTTTACTTCTCATCCACTTCCTGGCCTCGTGAAGAGATTC